TCAAACATTAAAAACTTCCCTAAACAGGTCTGCCTTCAGATGTCTTCTAAATGTCAGATAGTTGTTTATTTCTTTGACATCTGATGGCATTCCACAGGGCAGGCGCTGCTACCAAGAAGGCCCTCTGCCTGGTTCCCTGCAACCTCACTTGTCACAGTGTGGGAACTGCCAGAAGGCCCTCGGTGCTGGACCTCAGTGTCCAGGCAGAATGATGGGGGTGGAAATGCTCCTTCAGGTATATTGGTATCATAACATATGAGCGACACACCAGCACACTATGACTCTGTTGCTGCTTACTTAACCTGCACCCCTCTGCTTTGTTTATATGTGGTGAATATTTATATTCCGATTGAGAGCCAGTGTGGTGTAGTGGTTAAGAGCGATAGACTCGTAATCTGGGGAACCGGGTTCGTGTCTCCGCTCCTCCACATGCAGCTGCTGGGTGACCTTGGGCTAGTCACACTTCTCTGAAGTCTCTCAGTCCCACTCACCTCATAGAGTGTTTGTTGTGGGGGAGGAAGGGAAAGGAGAATGTTAGCCGCTTTGAGACTCCTTCGGGTAGTGATAAAGCGGGCTATCAAATCCAAACTACTACTCCACCTCCACCTCTTCTTCTTCTTCTTCTTCTTCTTCTTCTTCTTCTTCACCCAAAAAGACACTCAAAGCAGCTTTAAAAATCATGTTCACCTTGGGTATCAACTGGACTTTTGCTCACACAACAGAATATATATCCACCCCCTCTACAGCCATGGGCCACCTGCAGCCTGCCCCTGCCTCAAATCCACTGTGTGGGTTCCTCTGACCCTTTGCAGCAGATTTGGAGAGTGCGGCGGGGGGGTAGAGAAAGAGGAAGTTCTGTTGCATATGTGGAAGTTATTGTGTGACTTTGTTGGGTACAACCCATAGGATATCTATTGTTTCTAGGGTGATTCAGGTGGCATTTTCTATCCTTAGCTTTGCCGAAAAGAAGCTCCATGACTGTGCTGGTCTTCCCTATCCTGATTGTGGCACTGGCTTCCTAAGGAACTGCTTGGAGAGCGATGCAGCCCAAGTTTCCAAGTAAATTTTGCAAATAGCTAAAATATTTCCATCGCCAGAGGTGCAGGAGCTAATGGGAGACAGACCCTGTCAAACATTTCAAGCATTTCCCCAAAGCATCGGCTCAGACTACATGACAGGGCTGTGTGATGGGAGTCACAGAGTTCACCGTGTGTCAAAGAAACAAGTCAAGGAGAACATCAGAACTTTTCCATAACATTCTGCACCAGAAGCCCTTCATTCTTTCCTTTCAGTTAAACACATTTGAGTTTCTCTGTTGTTTTGAAAAATTGTAACTCACGCTTCAAGAGGCACTGCCCTCAATGGCAGTTTTCAAGAATTCTCCAAAAATAAGAAGGGGCCTGATGGCTCAGTCCAGAAGCCCATCTAGTCCAGCAGTCTGTCCTCAAAGTTGCAAGCCAGATGCCCAAAGGAAGCTGACAAGCAAGACAGGCATCCTTTCCCACCCTGATCCCTGGCAAATGACATGCAGAGGCATAATACTGGATGTTATGGCCATCATGACTGATCCTGAATGGGGTATCTGTGCCCCTGAAGCACCGGGAGTCCTTTTGGACTCACAGCTGTCCATGAAGGCGCAGGTCAATTCAGTGTCCAGGGCAGCTGTTTATCAGTTCCATCTGGTATGCAGGCTGAGACCCTACCTGCCCGCAGACTGTCTCACCAGAGTGGTGCATGCTCTAGTTATCTCCCACTTGGACTACTGCAATGCGCTCTACATGGGGCTACCTTTGAATGTGACTCAGAAACTGCAATTAATCCAGAATGCAGCAGCTAGACTGGTGACTGGGAGTGGCCGCCGAGACTATATGACACTGGTCCTGAAAGATCTTTATTGGCTCCCAGTATGTTTCCAAGCACAATTCAAAGTGTTGGTGCTGACTTTGAAAGCCCTAAACAGTCTCGCTCCTATATACCTGAAGAAGCGTCTCCACCCCCATCATCCAGCCCAGACACTGAGGTCCAGCACTAAGGGCCTTGTGGCAGTTCCATCGCTGCGAGAAGCCAAGTTACAGGGAACCAGGCAGAGGGCCTTCTTGGTGGTGGCGCCTGCCCTGTGGAACGCCCTCTCAGCAGATGTCAAGGCAATGAACAACTATTTTACTTTTAAAAGACAACTGAAGGCAGCCCTGTTTAGGGAAGTAATGTCTGACACTGTAATGTTTTTAATATTAGGTTGGAAGCCGCCCAGAGTGGCTGGGGAAACCCAACCAGATGGGCGGGGTATAAATAATAAATTATTATTATCATTATTATTATATAGCCACTGATATCTTCCATGTGTTTGTCTAACCCCTTTGATTGGTGCACAATAATATTAAAATGAGATACAATACAAAAGATTCAGAGTCCTAGCAACCAAATCCTGTCTACTAGGACTGTATAGTTAATATTCCATAAAATGATTGGAGGCAGGTCCACACCATACATTAAAGGCACATTCAGTGTGCATTTATAGCATGTGACCTCCCCCAAAGTATCTTGGGGGTACTGGGAATTGAAGCTCTGAGGTGGGGTGAGGTGGGGAACCCCAGTTCCCAGGATTCCTTGAGGGAAGTAAATGACCCTCATTGTCTCTTCCTCCTCTACAATTCTATTTGCTTTAAATGTGCATTGAATGCACTTTTAATGTATGGTGTGGATGTCTCCAAAGTTACGCTTCAGGGAAAGGCCTAAGAACATAAGAATAGTTCGGCTGGTTCAGGTCAAATGTGTGACTATCATGAAAGGACCCACACTTCTGAACTTGCTACTGCACTGTTGCACAACACCACAACATGACATAGTACAACACCACAACATGAAATCAGCAGCTTATAGCCTTAAACAGGCTTCTTAAAGTGTTATTAAAATGAAGCAGAGGTATATTTGGGTGACTGAGCACCAGATTCATTCCTAAAATAGTGAAGTCTCAGATTAATAAAATGAATGAATAATAAAGAAAGAATTGGATCTCTCTCTCTCTCTCTCTCTCTCTCTCTCTCTCTCTCTCTCATACACACACAAATAGGGTGTTTCCACCTCCACCCCCGTGTACATTCTGTACTTAGTCTGTTCTGTAATCTACTTAGCAGATTTGAGTTTCAAGGCTGTTCCTTGACTTATGTAATAGCAAAGGATTAAAATTTAAATCCTTTTTTTTCACTAACAGCATGATTAACGTAAGTCTTCTTTCACAGATACTTACAGATCTGAAGGGTGGGGAGAGATCTGTGAAGCTGCATCGACAGCTCTTTTAAAATTAAATAAGCGGATATTATCTGGAGAATTTTAAGTGGGATAAGGAATCAAAACTCTGGATGTTCCTCCTTCATGCTTTGATAGGGATATATATTAATTGGGCATTTTCTCAGGGAAAGGACGGCGGAGCAATTTGAACCGATACTGCAAAGAGTGATTTGCATTTAGATGAATTAGGTCTTGATTTTATTTCTCTCACCAGGAAACCAATCCAGCCAGGAGCCAGATGCAAGGATCCATGCCTGGTGCTAGATCACAAGAGACAGAAAAGGGATCTTATTGATGTACCACTCACACCGCCGCCCAACTCCCGTGCCTGAGCTGGCAAAGGTTGCCTCAGTGGTTGTGTTGGAAAACTCAAGGATGATTGTCCTGGCAGACTAACATTCCTTGTCTGGTCTAAATGAGGATTTCATGGCCACCATGTTAACCCTGGGGCTGTCACAGTACATCATGAGCTTAGCTCATGTTGCAGGTCAGAAATCTCAATCTGATTTTTTTGTTACTGGTAAATGGTATTTGATGCTCTGGGGGATTTTCTTGTTGGCATAGCTGGAGGTCCTGTCAAGGCTTGCTTTGGAACAGCAAGATGCAGAGGTCCATCAAGCAATTTGCTCCCATGCATCTTCTCCAGTACTGTGGAACCTGGAATGTCCATTGTTTTTCAGTGGCACTTGGGATGAGGAGGCATATTGGACAATGACTGGAGTGCTGGTAGTACAAGTCTTAGAGGGAGGTGAGGCAGCAAAATGCATCTTACTTTGCTGCTACCATTGTGTCCTCAGTTCTTTATAGGATAGTGCAGGGTCTGGTTAAGGTCCTGCCACAAAAACATCTGTGCAGTCAGAAGCCTTCAGGGAAACAATGACGACGACGACAACAACAACAACAACAACAACAACAACAACAGTTTATTATTTATACCTCGCCCATCTGGCTGAGTTACCCCTGTCACTCTGGGCGGCTCCCAACAGAATATTAAAAACATGATAAAACATCAAACATTAAAAAGTTCCCTAAACAGGGCTGCCTTCAGATGTCTTTTAAAAATAGGATAGCTGCTTATTTCCTTGACATCTGATGTGAGGATGTTCCACAGGGCGGGCGCCACTACAGAGACGCCTGGTTCTCTGTAACCTCACTTCTCATAGTGAGGGAACCACCAGAAGGCCCTCAGAGCTGGACCTCAGTGTCCAGGCTGGACGATGGGGGTGGAGATGTTCCTTCAGGTATACTGGGCCGAGGCCATTTAGGGCCTCCAGCTGTTTTTGGACTACAATTCCCATCATCCTTGACCACTGGTCTTGCTAGCGAGGGATGATGGGAGTTGTAGTCCAAAAACAGCTGGAGGCCCAAGGTTGGGGAACACTGATTTAGGGCATTAAAGGTCAGCACCAACACTGACCTGAGAACACTGAGAAGAGGATGCTGCACTAGATTCCCATCAGGGATCTTGCTATGTCCACCACCCTCCATTCCAGCAAGCAAGAGGTGTTATCCCAGTTCAAGGAGAAGTTCTGCCAGACAAAAGCACTAGAGGAGGGTTCAGAGCAAGGCCATTGAGGTGTGTGGCCTGGGTAGGATCCCAAGGGCCAGGCAGAAAGGCCTGGAGGGCCACATTTAGCCCCCGGACCTGAGGCTCCTCACTCTTGCTTTATGTCCACTTTGGGAATAAAAGTGAGAAGGAACAAACAGGTTGAGTCCGCTAGATAGCACAGTTGATTAGAGCATGATGCTGATAACGCCAAAGTTGCAGGTTCGATCCCTGTAAGGGACAGCTGCATATTCCTGCACTGCAGGGGGTTGGACTAGATCCTCAGGGTCCCTTCCAACTCTATGATTCTTTGATTCAAGTCACTTACAAAGGATAGGAGCATATTTTGCAACTGCTGCACATACATAATGTGGACAGTTGCCGTAACCCACGCTGAGTTGCTGCTCTCAGTCTCCACATAAATATTAGTAAGCATTTCCTCTGAATGGTTTTCCAACGTGGTCAGTTTAACGCAAAGCTAATAGATTCTTTTTCAAAATAATATAATTGCTTTGTATCCTTTGTGGGGAAGAATAATTTACTGACTGGCATTCCACTAATTAACAACCAACGTGGAAGCCCCTCAGTGCCTTCCTATTTATGAACTTCAATATCTGTGACTATTCAACAGCACATTATAATAGATTCAATATTGAAATACCTTTTTCTATAGAAAAAAAAAATCAGAATGACTTAATGCTTGACATGACAAGATGTGCTCTTAAACTTAGGCAAGGACGCTCTCACAAAAGAGGCCACTTGATATCAGTATAATTCTTAATTCTTTCCACCAACTTGGAAGTTCTATCGTGGCAATCTACAATTGCTTACAACAAAAGCTTTGCTGCTCATAAGGGGGCCTTTACACACGGATCTTTGTTTTCTCCCTTATCTTCCCTTTTACTCTCCTGTGGATCTTAATTTGGTTGCTATGGAAGCAACTTTCAACATCCAATTAGCGGATATAAATCCCATTGAAGAATTCTTAGCATTAGCTTAGGCTACCTCTGTGTAATTCTACTTCCATAAACCACGGGGGGGAGGGGAGTTAACAGGGAGCCAGATAAGCACTGTCATTCATTTCCGATGCTGACAACCAGGAGACAATTGTAGCTCAAGGTAGCCCCCAAATCCCTTTACAGCGCTAGTAATATTCAAATGAACACATCTTGCTGTCCACAACACAATGAGAATATATAAACATCAGCTCCTCTGGCTTTGAAGTACAGGTTGCCATTTCAGTCCCTTTTGTGACATGGATGCTCTTCAATAACAATTATTTTTGCAACGGTGCTTGGAGATTCTGAAAGGAGAGGGGGAAATTCCAAAGACAGCAGCAGGCAGGTCTTGAATGACGTTGATAGCTCAGTTGGTGGAGCATGAGATGCTTAATCTCAGGGTCGTGAGTTTGAGCCCTACATTGGACAAGAAATTGCTGCATTGCAGGGTGTTGAAGACTTTCATGGTCCCTTCCAGCTCTATAATGCTATGATCCTTTGCCTTCAGCTCGACTGAAGACAGTGTGTACTTCCATTCAAGATGTGGTGAGGGTCTGTGCAACCTCTTCACACCAAGACAAAAGTGTGGTGGATTCTTATCCAAGATATGTTGCTTGCAGATGATGCAGCCTTGGCAGTGCACTCTGAGGAAGCTCAACAGAGACTCATCAACCATTTTGCCCAAGCCGATATGGAGCTCAGCCTCACCATCAGCACTCCACACATCAGCACTGGTGACCACTCACTTGAGGTGGTCGACGATTTTGGGCTCCACCATAACCACCAATGCTGAGCTGGACAAATGTGTTGGCAAGGCAGCTAAGGCCATGACTTAGCCTCACTCACCTCACAGAGTATTTGTTGTGGGGGAGGAAGGGAAATGGAGATTGTTAGCCGCTTTGAGACTCCTTAGGGTAGTGATAAAGCGGGATATCAAATCCAAACTCCTCTTCTTCTTCTTCATGTAGAGAGAATGGAGGATGGCAGAATCCCCAAGGACGTGCTCTTCGGGGAGCTTACGTCAGGCACTAGGCCTGTTGGCAGACCAACTGTGCATTACAAAAATGTCTGCAAACATGACATGAAGTCTGGCAACATTAACCCTGCCATGTGGGAATCCCTTGCAGGTGACCACAGTGTGTGCACATAGTCAGATCTTGTATCCACAGCAGTGACCAGAGGAGGAATGCCTGCTGGGAGGAGAGCAGAGAGAAGAAATGACATCATGCACCTGTAGCAGTAAAACTGGATGCCTTCATGTGCCCCATCTGCAACAAAACATGTCTCTCCTGTATCAATCTCTACAGCCGCAGCAGGCACTGTAACTTTACCCCCGAAGGCATACTCCTCCATTGTTTTCCTAGACAGACAGATGCCAACAATGATTCAAGGAAGTCACTAAACTGCTAAAAAAAATGGAATGCAGACAAAAACTTTATCCTAATAGATGCATTTCTTGTACACATTACTTGGTTGGGAAACTGCACAGCAAAATTCAGTGAAGTGCTGGTTGTGGCGGCTCGCTGTGTTTCTATTTCCATATTGTTTCAGAAAGTGTGGATTTGATAGGTTCACTTTTTTAATGTGAATTGAATTGAATTTCTACTCCAACCCTGCTAAAGGCACAGTCTGGGTTTGTTGGCTGTTGGGCCAAGTGTCAAGCCTGCCTTGTCTTGCAGCTTAGACTCCTCTCAAAATCTAACTCACCTTACCATTCTTCTTTTGGCCTGTGGCCTCTGCTTTGCTTGACCTTGCTTGTCTAGACTTACCTTCTGCTTCATCTGGCTTTGACTTCCCTACTCAGGTGTGGTGTAGTGGTTAAGAGCAGTAGATTCGTAATCTGGGGAACCGGGTTCGCGTCTCTGCTCCTCCACATGCAGCTGCTGGGTGACCTTGGGCTAGTCACACCTCTTTGAAGTCTCTCAGCCCCACTCACCTCACAGAGTGTTTGTTGTGGGGGAGGAAGGGAAAGGAGAATGTTAGCCGCTTTGAGACTCCTTCGGGTAGTGATAAAGCGGGATATCAAATCCAAACTCTTCTTCTTCTTCTCTGAATGGGTGGAGCTCAATGGGAGAGAAGGGGCAAGCTCACCCCAGAAAAGTGAGCTTGTTCACACCAGAACAGCTCGCCACACTGTCACCACTCTCTGTAGAATATATATTTGTAATTACTAAACATACACGTGCTTTGGTTCTTTACCCCCTCCTCTGTCCACAGATGAATAATTTCATCAGTCTTCCTTTCAATCTGCTGGAACCTTTGGACAAAAGAGATGGCACAAACCCTCTGGCTGCTGTCTGAAGTGTTAATATTGTTCCAGAGAGTGGTGTTTGTTTGTACACCATCTAAGCTTTAACCGCTCCACATCATCTTTGAGCCTCCCTGCATTTAATTGACACATTGCTTCCCCGCTTCAGGAATTAATAACAGCAATGGACGGTGCTCATGTTTCAATCTCCTGACGGTGTTCGCAGGCGCACAGATCGAGCCTGGCCTGATATTCCCGTACTTCCTTGATCGTGAAAGAGACTTCTTCTTTGTGTGTGGAACCAACATTAACATTTCAAAAGTGAAAACAAAACAAAACAGCACGCTTCCATCTCCATAACCCCTGATCAGATTGTGGTCACATCGGTCTGAATTTTGCTACGCGTCTTAGCGACTCCTTATTTTGAGAAGAAGCAAACAAATAAGAGTCATGTCATCCGGGAAAATCCACCAGCCTCTCCTGCTGGCTAACAGCATAATGCTAGTTTATTCTCTTTTCACCATCAAAGAATTCCATCTTTTCTTTTCTTTCATATGCAGCTATTCTTGATGTCTGGGGGGGGGGGGAGAGAGAAGGGCAATGATGCCATCTTTTCTCATTAGCTAGAAAGCAACTGGTAGAACTCTGCCGCATTCAATTTCCTCATACATTCATAACATGGAGTAGAGGCTAATAAGGAGACAGACAATTAAGTCAGTCCACAGACAGGCACACGTGCCGTCATCAAACTAATAGCTCATGTTACAGTCATTTCCCCTCCATCATGACTATTTCATTTCTAATAAAGCAGCCTTAGCACCGTCTGGTCCCCAGATGAAGAATATCTACAGCCGTGGGAAGGAACCTGTAGCCCTCCAGATGTTGCTGGACTTCAATTCCCATCATCCCTGACCATTGGCCGTCTGGCTGGGGCTGATGGAAGCTGGAGTCCAAGAACATCTGAACATGCTCTCCATCCCTCTGTGGTAGACTATATCCATTTTCAAAAGTTCATGGGTAGGCTTTCCGCCTCCCTCCTTGTCAGCTGTTGTGTTGAAAGCATTTTCTCTGGGAAGCCTCTGGTCCCCTTGATATTATGGAAGCGTCATAGCTAAGTGGAAGAGTATCTGTTTTGCATGTAGAAGGTCCAAGTTTTAATCCCCAAGTGAGGAATGAACCCTGCCTGAAATACTGGAAAGCCTCTACCAGTCGGTGTAGACAATGCTGAGTTGGATGGTCTGACTCGGTGTAACACACTTGTTAGGTTTCCAGTGTCCTGTGTGTTCCTTTCATCCTTTTCTCCCTAAGAATGCTTGTGGCAAACATTTTATTCTTGCATTCCTAATACAGCCATCTACAGTCAAACCTCAGTTCCTGAATTCCTCTGTTTTGGAATGTTTTGGCCCCTGAGCACCGAAAACCCAGAAGTAACTTCTCTGGTTTAGGAACGATTTTTCGGAAACCAGACAGCTTCCGAACCATGTTTTTCTTTCTTTTTTTCCATTGACTTTGCAGCCAGCCCGTTGACCCTCAGTTTTCAAATTTTTCAGAAGCTGAACGGTCTTCCAGAATGGATTAAGTTCGAAAACTGAGGTTCCACTGTATAGGACAGAGCGCAATAGGTAAAAATGGATTCCTACCTTTGTCCAATTAAGAAGACAAGAAATCAAAAGAAAAGAACAGCAACACTGTATCTGTGACCAGCTAGTCCTGTCATATGCCAGGTGGATGGATGGCCTACCCAAACACCCAACTAGGGCCCAGATGAAGGTCTAACAGCAGGCATATTTTTTAGCAGGAACTTGGGGGAACTTCTCAAAATTAAATAATAATGTTGTTGTTGTTTTGTCTAGGGGGAACAGCTATGCACACAATGCCTGAGCTAAAAATCCATCTATATCTGTAATCAAAAAAGTTGTGGCCATTTCTAAGCCATATGATTGTCTGCTTGCATTTATTAATCACATTTTACATTTAGCCACTGCCCGGGGTGTGGGGTGGCACTGTGACTGCGCCCGCAATAAACAAACTTCGTGATGAGTTCCCTCACCTTTCCCCCAGAAAAAAGCACTGATGCTAAGTATCTCCTGGTAATGATGATGGGGGATCAGGTCAGAAATTCAGGGTAAGAGGAATGGAATGGAGCGTCATGAAGAAGGGCATGGATGACTGGCTGGCTGGAACACTGGATAGGAGCTCTGCGTGCCTGCGGTTCCCATTTGTAATGCGCCCTACAGTTCCCTCTCAATAAAATGTTTCCCCACAAAGCACATTATCCTGTCGATAGATGGAAACTTGAAATGGGCCTTTATTCTTAACTATGGGCACTATTACGATGTCAATGGAATCCTTTCATATCCTTCCCAGCATTTACAATACCACCAGCAGCATTAGAATATCAATGAGCTTCCATTGCATTTGCTATTTTATTTCATTGCCCTCCCTCTGCAACCTCCTGAGTAAACAGACAATAAATGCAATGCCATTGCAGAGCTTGCTTAATTTAATCCTCACAATGCCAGGGAAAGTTGGGGCGAACACCAGCGCTCCATCTTCAGTGTTTTATACCGGGAATGAAATTTATACTGCAATATAATGCACAAGGATCCTTGTAAGATGTACAGGATGCATACAAAGGAAGTTAATGTTCAAGTGCTCACATTACCTTGGCTCAGCCTCCTCAAGAAAGACCCTTAATGTTTTACCATATCAGAATGTTCTATGTTTAATAATGATGGGCTCTCTCTCTCACACACACCCAAAAAAAGATGATTGCGGCGCTGATCATTCTCTAATGTGTAGCTCCAGAAGGAGAATGGAAGTCTGAAGTAGTCCCTTTCAATACAATCAGAAAGCTTTAGAATTCAAAATATGAATTAATTCTAAATTTAAAATACTGCAATTAGGCCGCAACCCAATAGCCAGTTTCTTGGGAATAAGCCTCTGTCATGCCCTACTCTCTCTATGGGTCCTAAGGATTGTCAGAACCTCAGTGTCCCTTGCTTTCGGAGACCATCTGGTGATCCCCTTTGCTCTCACAAGCCTGGGTACTCTGATCAGCATTGACCCCATCTGTCAGTGTGTTTTATTTCCTCAGTTAAATATTCCCTGCTACACTCTTGCAGCCCTAATTCAGTGTAGGTTCCCTGCATTATGGAATCCATCCTCAACTTCTTTAAGCC